ATTAAAACATTATGATTTATAGTATACATTTATTTTCTTTGGACCAAATGTTCTTTGCTTTGTATGTAACTTCACTTTTCCTTTTCTGTTGATCCGGTTGATAATAAACAAGTCGAGAACGTTGCAAAGTTTATTTCTTGTCTATTAATGTCTTTCAATATTGTATCAATTAATTAAGCGATCTACGTAATAAGAAATTTAACAGGTTATGGGACCCAGATAACGTTTTTCTTAATTAATTGATTTGACGAAGAAAATTTAGAATAAAGAAATATCGGAAGATTCCTTTGTGAAGACTGAAGTGAAGAGAAAGCACGTGCTTCTTCATTCCCTGAAAATCGATATTTTGCTTCTAATTAAAAGGTCAAATTGAAAAGACAAGGAAGAAATGGATTCAAAGCTTCAAATAAAGCAGTTAAGTTGCGCAGCCGATTGGCCCATTTGGAAACGTCGTGTTCGAGATTTCATGGACTACCATGAGGGCGCACTTGATGTGATTGATGGGAAGTTGTCGAAACCAGAATTACTAGAAAACCAAACAGAGCAACAGGCAAAAGATTTTAAAAATAAATCAGATCTGTTTAGAAAGGCAAACAGTTATGCCAAATCAGTAATTGCAAATGCAGTCACAGAAGATACATACCAAAAGATAATGGACAAGAACACAGCGTTTGAAGTTTGGGAGGAATTAAAAAGAAATTTTGAAGCGTCAACTAAGGACCAACTGTTCCAAGTTTGTAGCAATTTTTTCGATTTCAATTGGATAGCGGATGTAGATGTATCCGGCCAAATTGCAAGATTGAAAACTTTATGGAATGAATTAAACAGTGGGCTTCAGGCATCGGGAGAAAATAAACTACCAGAGCTGCTATTAGTATGCAAAGCGATGCAGATTCTCCCAAATAGTTTCCAAAATTTCAAATCAAGTTGGCTAATGATAGGTGAAGAAAAGCAGTCGATAGATGATTTAATCACTCATCTCTGTGCTTTCGAAAGAGAGATAAAGACTTTCGACACAATCGATAAATCATCAAGGCAGAACGCCTTAGTTGTAAATGTTGAAAAGCCAAGTTT